GAGTGCCGCCTTCCCGCGCGGAATTGGTTTTTCCTGGGTTTTTTGCTCCCTGTTTTCTGGGCCTGGCAGCGCCGCCTGCGCTCGGCTCAGGCTGGGGGACAGCAGGCAGCAGCTGGAAACTGCCTCTGAGTCCTGGATCCACGCAGCTCCCGGGATCCACACAGCTCCCATCCCTCCTGCCCAGCTCCGGCCAGCAATTCCCGTGGCGCTTAAAGCGCTGGCATTAACTTCGCTCTATTTATAGAGCTCCCCTTCTCTGGGCGCTTTACCTTGCCAATAGGTGCCTTGAAAACACTTCCCCTCTGCTCCAGGGAAGGTTTTAAAAGTGGTGGAAACAACCGGGAAAAGGCGCTGGGCAGAGCCGGGTGGGAGCAGCCGTCGCTGGGAGGGCCGGGAGGCCTGTGCTGGCAAAGGCAGCAGCTGAAAGCAGTGTGAAACCTGCAGTGTCACGTCAGGAGGGGATTTGGGATCTCTGCAGCCTCCAAAGCAGCCATCAACCCCCGTCACTGCCCATGCCCGCGTTTAGCTGAGATAAATCCCGGGAAATCTTGATTTAAGAGGTGGATTGTAGAATTGATACAAAAGTCCCAAAGTCCTCGGATGAGCAGAGACCAGCAAATGAGCTCCTGGAGCAGGATCACAATGTTCCTCTGCCTCCACGAGCAGTCAGCTCCTGCCCTGCCCCTTCCTTGCATGTGCCCGGGATCCTGCAGCCGCGGAGCAGGGAATGCTCCGGAGCGCCCCGCGCTGCCCGGGGAGCCCTCGAGCAGCCACCGGGCTGGCTGGCAGCTGACAGCAGCTGTGTTGTTTTCTGCTAAACCACCACGTCCCGTCTCGGCTTTTATCAGGCTAAAATGACTCTGTCTGTGCAGCGGCGTCGCCGGCTGTTGTCAGCCCGGCCCTGGGGATCGCGCGCGGTGCCCCCGTCGGGTTTGGCTCTGCCGCCTCTCGCGGGAGGCGCCGGGATCCTTCCTCGCGCACCCGCAGCAGCTCCAGGGCTTCCCCGGCTCATCCCGCCTTGC